TTTTTTTTTTTTTTTGAGGGGGGTGAGTACTGGGAATCAAACTCAGGACCTTGCACTTGCAAGACAGGCAGCACCACTGAACTAAATTCCTGGCCCTGCCCTGGGTTTTTTATGTCCCTCTAATCTACCCCTACTTATGTTTAATACATTAAGAAATCGAATGGAAAAAATAGTCAACATGTAGGAAGTAAGTGAATAATGTAAGAAGCCCTTCTTTCCCCAGAAATAAAACTGTCAGCTTTTTTGCCACAAACAGAAAAAACACAAAACAAGAAGACACAGACATGGTGTATTAAAACACTCCTCCCCCATTTTATGTGTTTGTCTGTTTGTTGAGACAGGGTCTCTCTGTGTAGCTCAGGCTGACCTTGAACTCACTGTGGAGCCCAGGCTGTCCCCAAACTAGCAGCAATCCTTCTGCCTCAAGCTTCCAGAGTGCTGGGATTATAGGAATGTACCACCACACCTGGCTCTAAATAAAGCCTTCAGTAAAGGAAAATTTGGAAATTCAAGGAACCTGTTTTAATTGAGGAAATATCCCAAAATAATAAAATGTATTAACCAACAATTAGAAATATATACCTGAGTTTTCATTCAGTATTACAGCACTTTTGATCATGTTTTCTAGAGTGGATTGTAGTTAGAATAAGTGTTCATTTCATATCTGTAACTTGCTCTCTATTCTGGTGTGGCTTTCTTAAATTGAGTAAAATAGAAGGAATGAATATTAGTGAACGTTTAGCTATTGTTTATAAATTGTACTAATTTCTGTTACTTTAGTTGGCACATTAGCATTTTTGCATTTTGTAACTGCTGTACTAGCAACCCTTATAAGATAATGTACCTCCATTTCCATCTCTGTATAAATGAACAACTTAAGAAGGGAGACATAAAAATTTTAAAACTTAGAGGAACTTATTTTCTCGAGCTATGTACAGCCAGGCATGGTGACATATGCCTGTAATCCCAGCATTTGGGAGACTGAGGTAGGAGGATCATTCTGAGCTCCAGGCCACCCTGGGCTACAGAATGAGTTCAGGGTCAGCCTGAATTATAAAGCAAGACCTTATCTTACAAGGGGTGTGGGGGCTATATATAGAGATGAAATCCAAATAAAGTTGGAGACCCAAGTTTCCTGAATTTGTTGCTGCTGTACAATTTTGCCTGTCAAGTGGGCCAAGGTCTTTACTGTGAAATTTCTCGGCTGAATTTTTTTTTTATAGCAAAACATTTATTGGTGCATTTTAGGTATACATAATGATAACACTTGTCATAGGGAATTTGTACCTGTACATGGTACATCTGCCTCTTTTGTTCCCATTCTTCCCTCCCCACAAGCCCACTCCCCTCCCTATGTACAAAAGCTGTGTTTCCATTTTTTCCTTCTATTTCTTCCTGTCCCTTTTTTCCTTTCTCCCTCCTGCCTCCCTTGTTCCCATTCCCATTTGAACATTTTCTTCCTATTTCCCAATATCTAATATACATTTTAGTCCTCATTTTCTGGGCTGAATATTAAGGGGAGTCAAAACTCAAACACATTGTCTCTTTTTTTTTCTTTTGAGTTGTGAATTCATTAGCATCCTGAATTGACTAAATATGCAACAGCAACCTTACAGTATAGCCAATGTTTGCAAACAGAATCAAATACACATACAAAGGATAACTTTGGAAATAAGCACATTTAGAGGGAAAAAAAAATAGTTTTAGTAACATAAAATTTTCCTTTTTATTTTTATTTTTTTCTGACATCAAGGTAGCACAGTGCATCTCACCAAAGGGACCTCTTGCATGTTCAAGAACATACTTTTTTGGAGCTACTCATGTTCCTTACTTAGGTAAGTTCTTAGAAAGTCTCATCTCATTAATTGTCATATCATCTTGATGAATGGGCTTGTCCCATGAAATTATTATTAACATCAAATTTACTACTTTGCTCAGAAGCTCATGATAACAATTTGAAGGCTTCCAACTCTTGAAGAGTTGATGTGTCCAACACATTATTCACAGAATGTATTTCTGGAGAAAACCTATTAGTTCAGCCTGTGTTCAGGCTTAGAGATCTGTCCAAGTGTAAGGTTCTGTGCTTATTATCATAAGAAAAGCCAAGATAAGACTTTGTTTGAGATACCAGGAGGTGTTGACTACAGTAGGAGTTTGGTTGAGTTGGCCTGGGGCCTACCTGACAGTTTTCTTGTGAAGAAAGTGAGAAAAGCTGTGATAGGATACCTAGGAGTTAGAAACTTGCTGTGACATCATCCAAGAAGATAAGGCAAACAGGGCTTTCCTGCCTCCAGGTATACAGCTGCAGGCATCCAAAGAGATGTGGAAGAAATTTCTAGAATGAATGTGGATCTCAGTATTGGCAGAATGGGGTACATCAGAAGCAGGGTTTGCTCCTTGATGTTGTTAAATAACCCAGGTCACTCAGGAAGGAGCATGACTTGGATCAGATAATTAAGGAAATAAAGAGCATTACTGAGCCTATTTGCTGATACCTCAAAGTTTAGAAAATTAAAAATAAAAGGAAGGAATTTTCCAGAGGCTGATTCTACGCATCTTCTTTGTTGCTTAGTGGTGATGCTGACTGAGAAATGTCAGAGGTGAAGGTCCAGGAGGTTACTGGAAGGAATCAGGTTCCACTGTTACTTGTGCTTATACTGTAACTTCTTTAAAATGGTGTTCTTGGGCCATGGATTTAGCTCAGTGGTTCTGCTGCCTGCCTTGCAAGCTCAAGGACCTGAGTTCCATCCCTGGTACATACACACAAAAATGGTGTTCTTGACAATGCTTTTGAATTAAGCTCTTCTAGCCACTTTGTGAAGTGTTTGCATATCCTGTGCTCTTATCTCATTCTTAATACATGTTCTCTTTCATAGGTGATGATGACAGGCTGTCCAAGAATAACAAGTTGCCCAAGAAAACTGAACAAATGTAAGTCTTTGTATTTAATGATTCAGTCTCTGAGTTGAGCCTCTCAGTAGTGGCTGTCCTATTTCCTGTTGAGATCAGCAGTAATTAGGACTTCTGGTTATGAGACAAACTACTCTATAGTTACCCAGCAGGTCCCCAGCACCTGTCTCTCAGTTTCAAATATAGGCCATAGGACCTTGCCAGCTTGTTATTTGCTTCTCACTCTGGAACTCAAGAAACTTCCCATCTGTCCACCCCTGATTTATATGACAGAGCTCCCCTTCATGTTTTTCTACGTTGCTTTTGTTTTGTTTTGTTTTTCTTTTTGGTACCAGGGAATCGAACTTGGGTCCTTGCACTTGTGAGGCAGGTGGCAGCCCCACTGAACTAAATCCCCAGCCCCTACATAGTACATTTTTATTGAAGACTTCTTAAAATAAAATATTTTGAAATCTGCTGGGAAAATCTGTGAAACCCCATGTGGTCTGAGGAGTGTTTTCTCTGGTTGACACTTAAGTTTGTGGAACAGAGCTGCTGTCTGAATTAGCTGTGCAACCTTAGAAAGGGCCTACCTTAAGTAGACTGCTCCCTTTAACTACAGCAAGAAACCGAAGGCAGGAAATAAATTCGTTAATGCTGAAATAACTGAATTCCAAAAAGCATCATCGTCTAGAAATATAGACATAATAGGGCTGGGGATTTAGCTCAGCGGTTTGGTGGCCTGCCTTGCAAGTGCAAGGACCCGAGTTCAATCCCTGGTACCAAAAAAAAAAAAAAAAAGAAATATAGACATAATAGAGTTCTGCTATCATCTAATTAGATGCCCTAGCATAAACTGGTGGGATCTAGACTAGTGCTTCCAAAAGGCCAGCTGTGTCAGGCTACAAAGAATTATCTAAGGATCTCTTCAAAATATAGGTTCCTATGACCCAATCCTAAAGCTACTGAATCAGAATTTCTAAGCCCACAAAGTTGTACTGGAGAAAATGTAATGCAAGTAATACTATAATAATAGTACTATAGAAAATATTGGAGGTAGAGAAAAGAAAATAATAGTTCTTCCTCTCTGGTATTACCTATTAGTATCATGTACACAGAATATCTTTCCAGGCTTTAAAAGGTTATGCTAAAGCTTGGGGTGTTGGCACACGCCTGTAATCCCCCTAGCACTTGGGAGGCTGAGGCAGGAGGATCGCTGTGAGTTCAAGACCAGCCTAGACTACATAGTGAGTTCCAGCTCAGTCTCAACTACATATTTTATACTAAAAGTTTTTTTTTTTTTTAAGTTTTATGCTGTGTGTATAGTTTTGTTTTTGTTTTTGGAAGGTTTCCTTCGGTTTAGTAGCAACTCAACCATTTTTTCATATATGGGTGCGTGTTGTCTCGCTTGTGCCTGCTTGCGCTTCCATGCCAGCTGAGCTTAACCACTGCCCACAATCCTCTGTATGGATCTTCAGAAATACTGCTTAAACCAAATCCATTGGTGCCCTGCACCGGGAACTGATATGAAGTGGAACCTGGGCCCATGTCAGGAGATTTACCAAATCAGAGTCAGTGGAACTTGGGCTTTGTGGAGTCCTACTGACAGAAGCACCATCAAGCCCACTTTATGGGTCAGTACCCAAGTATTGCTGTGTACTGACTCTAATTTGAGGTTCTAAATAGAAGTCAGGAAGGGGTGATGCTGACCAGTGTTGAACTGAGTGCTATTTGAATCGAGCCACAGAGGGGATGTCTTTATATGATGTTATAAAACTTCCCTCTGGTGTTATGATGTGAAAGAATGATTGTTCTGGTTCTCCTGAAGTGGTGAAGCTTATTATCAGTATCCTACTCTGGTCTGGCCAACAAGCTTCAGGATGTGTTGATCTGTGCAGCAATCATTTTGTTACGTGAACTCTGTTCCTTTTTCTTCTTCATCACATTTCATATCTCTCACCTACAAAGTGAAGTTGTGGCAAAGGCACCAAGGAGAAACTAAAATTCCTGACAGTGTGATATGGCACAGCAGAGGGGTACCAGACAGAGAGTAGACCTGAGTTTGTCTGCCAGGAATTTCTGTTCTTCTCAACAACTTATTCCATCCCCCAGAGGCCTTGCTGCTTCTTCTATAAGCTGAGAGGATTACACCAGATCATTTCTGTTTCTGCCCACTTTCAAACTCATTTCACCTTCTAAAGTCTCAGAGGCTGGAAAATACACATTCTTTATGAGACTGTGTCATTTTCTCACTGGGCATCCCTTACCCTTCAGGGTCTTGTGGATAGCCTCTTCTCTCCCTAAGTGTCCTAACTGAGGAGTCTTTGTCTCCTTCTGCTAGAACAATGGTTCTCAACCAAAGACAAATCTTCTCCCTACCTTCTCTGGCCCTGAGCATAATTGACGAGGTCTGGAGACATTCAGATTGTCACAAGTGGAGGGTTGCTGCTGCTGTCTAGTGAGGACAAGTAAGGGATGCTTCTGAACAGGTTCTCTACAGTGCACAAGGAAAACACAGAGCCCACAGTGAAGAAAGATCCAGCCCCAGACACCAGGGTTGGGGAAACCTTCCCAAAGGGGACTTGGATTTTCTAGAGATCTTGGCAGTTCTAGCAAACAAGATCCTTTTTGAAGTGATTTGGAAAGTGAACCATGAGAGAGAAAGAACAATAATTTGGGAGAAGGTGAGAGATCCCTCAGAAGCATTCTTTGCTCTCTCTGTTTAATCCGATTTTCAGTGAATCCAGACCCTCCTCAGTCAATGATCTCTCTTATTCCCTGAGGTTCCAGTAACAGCCAGCCTTTGGCAGGTCTGGTGAGACACCGTGAAGGTATATAATGGTTGGTTAGTCCTTGAAAAAATGCAGATCTCTGTCAATAACACTAAGAGTATCGGTCCATGGATTGCTGCTCCTGCATGTAGAAGGGTCAGGAAGCCTGCTAGTTATATTCTCTTGGTCACAAATAAAGAGGATTGGTCTTTTGAACAGAATTCAGAGGAACTGACTTTTTAAAGATGATTAAACAGAGCAAAGTATAAATCAACCATGTGGCTTTTAAAAGATTTAGAGTTCTTTTTTCAATGAGTTTCTTTTTGTACTTTTCTCATTCTGTTAAAAAAAATCAGCCAGATGTGATGGTACACACCTATAATCCTAGCCGTCAGGAGGATGAGGTAGAAGGATCCCTGTGAGTTAGAGGCCAGCTTGGGCTACATAGTGAGTTCAAGACCAGCCTGAACTACATAGCAAGACCCTGTCTCAAAAAAAGTAAAAAAAAACAAAAAATCAGTTCCTTGAGGACTATAATTATGTGCTTGTGGCTTTTGACAAAACCTCATGATGCAGTAGTTAACCCATTATTTTTTGTTTTTAAAGTAGGCTCTTGTCCCAGATATATGCTGCTGTTATTGAGGCTGTTTTGGCTGGCATTGCATGTTATGCTAAAACTTCCAGTCTAACAAAGGTAATTTAAATACCATGTTTCTCTCTCTCTCTCTCTCTCTCTCTCTCTGTCCCTCCCTCTGTCTTTCATTATTTTAATGTAAAGCATCCTATCCATTAGTTTATTCTTTGGACCCCTTGCAGTACTCATTTTTGTATGTGCTCAGGCCTCCTTAGCACCAGGCAAAAGATCCCTATAAGAATGGTGATCTTCTGCTGCCAGTGACCATACTGCTGATGTTTTGAGAGGGGTAGCTAATCAGTACTTCCTTGTAGACGCCAGGTTTGTTTTATTAAAAAAGTTATACTACATTGTTTTGTTAATAGTTTAAGCAAAACGTTTTTAGAAGTTAAAGAAGAGGGGCCAGGGATTTAACTCAGCCGTACCGCTGTGCAAGCTCAAGGTCCTGAGTTTGATCCCCTGGTACTGCGGGGGCGGTGTTCCAAGAAGTCAAAGAAAGGGCTGGGGATTTAGCACAGTGGCACTACATCTGCCTCGCAAGCGCAAGGTCCTAAATTCAATCCCCAGTACTGGGACAAGGGGTGGGAGGGAGTTAAAGAATATAGATCATTCCACTGTGAATTTTAGTAAAGTTAGGTAAGTTTGTTTTCCTGTAATTTAGTATTTTACAAATCAGCTGTGGACTAGAAAGTCTGACTTGCCTTTCTTAGAGAAGGAGTGTGTTCTTGCTCTCTGACCATTTTCTTCCTTGCTGTTTTGCGGTTAACCTGCCCTGCTGAGTTGAATTCCTAAATCTGACCCAGTAAGGAGATGAGAAGAATCGGCTTGATGCCTCCCAATGCCAATAGGATCTTTCCTGAAGGAAGCCAGTTGACATTGGAAAGGTTGTGTATGATGTAGATAGCTGAGAGACTGTAGCCTTAGTCACCAGCTCCTAGCCATTTCCCCTCCTCACTGAACTTGAATCCTGGCACTGACGTGGTACTTCTCAGCCCTATAGCTGCTACCATAGTAGGCCTGTGCACAGCCATGCGTCCTCCTGCAATATCAACTCTCAATGCCTTTGATTTCTAACTGATCTTCTGTAATAGCTACTTGAATATTTTAGCATCTGGAAGAAATTGAGGGCAGAGCCACCTCCAGAGCCGGGGGAGAAGGGAGGAGAAAGCACTTTCTAGTTACATGCCATTGGCATCGCCCCAGCTGCTTACATCTCTGGGCAGGTCAGGTACCAGTGCCATCTGCCTGAGTGCAGGTTTTTCCTGTGAACTCAGCCTGAAGAAAGTAGTACATGTTTCCCTTAATATGATGTTTTCACTTTAATCTCTTGATGTATGTAGTCACATGGGGGAAGGCATTGTTAGATGAGCCATTCCTGTCACTGATGTGGGTACTGTTGGCTGCCTGCAAGCTAATTGTCTCTGTTTTGTTATTGATTTTTACAGGCAAAGGAATTAGCAGAGGAGTCCCTGGGATCTGGATTAGATTCCTTTGATTTGGTTCAGTTTAAGGCAGCACTACGGTAAGCAGTGGCTGTTCTTTATAAGGAGTGTTTTTTGTTTTTTTTTTAACTGTTTTTGTTCCTTATAATTTATGTTCCATCTGCTCTTTGAGAAATGTTCTGGTAGAATAATAGGACATATGAAAGCGAACTATCCATAATTAGGCCTTTGTTTGAGAAACCAAGGAGCCCAAGAGAGGAACTACAGGAGGAAGCGCACACATGTTGTGAGGCTAGAATATGAGGCAGGTTAACACTAGAACCGTGAGGAACTTGACAGGCCCGGTTCCAAGGTTAGCAGGGTGATGCAGGAAACCTGAGAGACAGGTTTCTTAAGGAAAGGCAGCCTGGACACAAGAAGGTGATCACTGCTTAGAAGAGATTATCCTTACTTGCCCTGGGCCTCGTCTACCTTTCAGGTGACAGATGCCCTGAGCCCCTAGGCTTCAGGGTCTAGATGGCTGGGAATCTGGCTTTCAGTCTTTTGTTCTGTCTCCCAGCATGTCCAAATGCATCTCTGTGTGGTCTTTGTCTATCGCTTCATTTTCATGACCCTGGCCCATTTAGACCCCATCCCACAGGACCATTTTTGTGCACTTTTGTGCAAAAGATAAGAAAGGCACCAGTACTATGGGGTTTACTTAAGAATATTTCTGGGGACTGGGGATTTGGCTCAGTGGTTCTGCTGCCTGCCTCACAAGCTCAAGGGCCTGAGTTTGATCCCTGGTACCAAAAAAAAAAAAAAAAAAAAAAAAAAAATTTTT